CCGCAGATAGGGTCAAGCTTGCAGTAAGACAAAGTTATGAGCCAAGGTCAAACCCAGGCTGCGTTCGAATGGCCTCATTGTATGGACCGCGCGTAGCTTTCGATCATTCCCAGCAAACGCTAATCGTGCAGTCCGCGTGCAGACTTTGCCATCGCGCGATCCAATCGAATCGATCCGCTCCCATCGCTTTAGCAAAAATGAACCCCATCTGTGTGGTCCATGCATAGACCCCTACATTATGCAACGAACCACTTTTAAAAAGCTCACCACGACCTGATCGACCTCCCTTGTTAGCTGCCTACGAGGGAACGCTGACAGTATTTAACTTGTGCCTGGCACCGAACTTTTTCAAACGTTTCGCTGCAAGGCGTTGCCTCGCAGATAGCATGGCGTGCCTCGGCGAAATCAAGGATTGGGAGAGACTTCTTATGGTAGGCGTTAGAATAAAAAGAGAGCTAATGTCGCAGTTATCCACCATCTTAACTATTGCAGCCCAGTGAATTGGAGCCAGAGTGACATCTGGCGTGTGAACTCCAAATCAGTCGCTGCTCCGCTAAATTGAAATATTTTTCGTTTTTACATATATTAGTACCATTTCTTGGCTGTACTCTAGAATGCGAAAACATGTTTCTTCAAATGCAGTGACACGTTTGTTTAGCTCGGATGTGGTGCCGGTTTGCCTGGCATTTTATGTGCGTTGCGAGGCGCAAGTCACGTTACTCTTCACGATTTTGTGAGTTATACCACTGGATATCTCAGACTTTTAAGAGATTTTTGAAGTTTATGTCTTATTGCAGAACGATTGTGTCGTGCAGTGTTTTACCAAAGAAAATTTGCGATTAAACGGTGTGGAGGAGTCGAAATACAGCCTTGCTAGTGGTCCTTGGACCGACTTTCAATCTACTGTTAAGCCGCGTAGGTATGTTAGTGAAGCTTTAGTCTGCGATTGAGCATGTCGTTCTCAAAAGTAGCAGGCCCTCTCCTTTACTAACTATTATGAGGAAATGTATCCGGGTTGCTGATGAATTTGGTTTCGTTACGCAGTATATAGGAGTGTTCCGTCTTGACACCGCTTTTAGCTTATTTCGTGTTTTCTGTAGTTGTAATCCACTGTGGGACTATGGGTGTGTGGGGGGTGAGGTCCTTAATTTACACTACGCTTTCGACTGGAGCATCGGATTTCACATAGAGGGCATGGTAGACGTTATGCCTATTCTTGGTCACACATTGTCTATTCTAGGCCAATACCAGCAGTGAGACGGCTGCTTCTTTCGCCCATTCTTGTTATCTGGCGTTCTCTAAAGCTGACGATGAGAAAAGGACTGCTGTTTTGGTGTAAGGGTGCAGATTAACGGAGGCTGCCTCGTAACCAGGGCACGTCATCGCGCTGTGATCACTTTCCTGAAAAATACGACCCTTCCCCTGATTCCATCCTCGAATAAGACCCCCTCTCCATGCTACCTACCACTTTCCTAGATTTTCCCAACTTCCTACCACTTTTCCATTTTTTCCCGAAAAATTTCCAGTTTTTCAGCCAAGAATTTTCCGTCGAGCGGGGAGGGTGGGGAGGCAGGAGGTCGTCAGGATTTAACTATCATTTTCAACTGTCGGAAATAGTAGTTGTATAGATCTTTGGCAGTCCCTCTCCCAACAACGACCAAATACGACCCCCCCCCTTTATAGCGTCCGTGAAACAAGAGAAATCAACTATCAAAAAAATCTTCTGACACCAAATACGACCCTCCCCTCCCTCGTTTTCGACCCCCCCCCGTTGTGATCATCACAACAATGGCGTGCCGTGCTCGTAACTGCGTGCCCCACATAGTTCGCGTTTTTATGCGCATTCTGGGCGGGTTGAAGACTGATTTCCTGTGCAGCACAGCTATCTTATCGCAAGATGACCCCTCGTTTTTTTTTGTTAAACTACCTTCTCCAGTATAATTTATAATTTGATATAATTATATAATTTGATAATATAATTTGATGTTGCGAAGTGGGTGACGTTGTCCTTAATGGTCAGTAAAGCTTCCATACTAATACTGCGCGGAGGAGTTACTTCGTGTAGCCGTGTTTTCGTACATTACGCGCAATTTGTTCAACTATTCGAGAAGTTTTATCTCAGCTATGTTGTTGTGAGCAGTAATATAGCCGTGGATCCCACTATCTGTCCACGCATCTACGTTGTTTTTTGTCATACTCAGTCAATCTCGCATCTCTAGCGCCTTTTTGATTTTCAACATCAGTACACACTCTCACTGTGCGAATGTGCGATAGCATTATTTGTTACTCGCTTTTTTTCGAGCAAGAAGATCTATGGGCATTTTGAGCTTGAGCAGAACTGCTCGCAAAAACTCTGCTGTACGCGGGCATATTCTGATGTACACTAAATCGATGCCTATACTTTCACTGTCGCTGGCGCTAGCGTACGCTCGAAATGCTGCCATACGCTGGTGCAAACTATGAACACAGCGACATCTTTTCATTTTCGAGTAACCGCACTTTTATAGAGCCGGTAAGCCTGCTGTACAGGTTAGCGGGAAAGTTCTGTCCTATTTTTGACAGATAAGCTTTCCTTCTACAGGGAGGCGTGTAAGAGAAGAGAAAAAGATATTGTTATTGCGGGATTTTCACCCTTATTTGAGCTCCTGATGGATGCCATCTCTCCTTTAGTGCAGGCCTGCACGACACAAAGTTGGACATCACCTCGATTTTGACTTGGGCTTGAGTCTGATTTCCTCGTCCATATAACAGGAAAGTACGCAGATTAGCTAGCAGTCGGAAGGAGCAACGTTTGGGTTACATTGGTGCGAAGTTAGAACCACTCAGCTCTAGTGCATGAAGTTCGGCTTGCCCTCTTTTGGACAGGGTGGGCTGCACTGTCATGCTGAAGGCAGACTATGCGGACAAATTCTCCCCTCTGATCGACGATTCCCCTTTAGATCTCGTAGCTGCTTAGTGTAGGGATTGATGTACACTGGAAAGCGTGGAAACAGTCTCTTCATCCAGTGGTTCCAAGAGCGCTATCTCTCCCGAGCTAAGTTCGGATAGAGATCCAGACCTCGCCTAATTGTAGGCCCCCTTCGAAGCATTAGCGCCATGGAAAGTTATCCGATACTCGAGGGCGTCATCTTTATGCTGCTGCTTGATTTTAGCATCAGCAGCTCTCATGCTTGTATCAGGGCGGTAGAACAAAGGGTTTGAGGAGGAGGATTTCGGTGTTGATGGCACCGATGACATTGTAGTCCATAATGCAAAAGAGTAAATAGGAGTCATGCGAGTGGTACTGTTTCGAATAGTATTACTCGCTGTATCACTGCACCCCTCCCAATCCTCTTCAGGTAGGGGCAAGTATTTTGAGTCCAAGAAAGTATTTATAACAAAACTCCGCCAACCTAATATGTTAAAAACCTAGTGGAAACTGATAAGAGAACAACTCTATTCACTATGAGTATTTCACTTGTCTTTTGCCTTACGGTGTTGTAGAAGAACATCTACTCATTATGGTCTGATTAGGTTCACGCTATACTCCATCAAGTGTCTCGTCAGCTCTGCTTATTCCAGTTATATTCAAACCTCTCGAAAAGACATCATTATCGTGAAAACAAATTTCCCAGCGGTTTCACCGTCCATGTAAGGAAAGTCCGCTACCACCTCGTGAGGCATATAAGGCACAAAACAAGTGAAATACTTACAATTAACATGACGAGGCTACAAGCAGCTGGAGATTCTTCGAAGTGATCGCAGGCTTGCCGTAGTCTGTACTAGTCAAGAGTGTTAGCGTGCCGTTTCATAAAGTATTTGCCCGATAGCGGTTAATCATTTTGGTTTCATTCAACAAATTAGGCTGTTCAAAAATCTAATAAGGATTTTGAAGCACTTGCTTGCTTCCTTGCCACGTAATAGAGTTTGATTCACACATCATTAGTGTTTCGCTTGTGGCGTGAAAGCCGTGAAATTATGGAGCATTCGCTTCTGTTCTGTGCTTTGTCCACCAGAACATGAATAAATCCATTTCGCTCTAATATTGGGGCTCTGGCAGGACGCGTTTAGATTCTATCGATTGCACTTCGTCACGTTATAGTTCTATACATTCCCCTTTTATGAATGGCGCTCTATTATACTTCGAAGTTTCGATTATGCGCCACGCTCATAAATGGACTACATTGAGCATATCTTTATTTTCCTTGTTATAGTTATAGTTGTTTTGAATGTTTTAGTTTCGACTTAATACTCACTTCCGAAACGATCTATAATCCGGAAGACTATGACGCTCTTCATGATGCCTTCGATTATGCTCTTTCACCAAATGGAGTGATGTAAGTACTGTTCCCATCTCGTTTTGCAGTCCAACTTTGGATTTATTTCTCTGTATAGGGCTGCGCTCATACCTTGCGAAACTGAAGAATTGCAAGATCGGTAATTGCGCAGTCGAGAGGGTCGCAGAAACCGTGAATATGAAAGTATGGTATAGAGAATTGACAATTCTCCGACTCCTCCGATTGAAACGTATGCCATCTTTGACGCATACTCTCTGATTCTACGTTTCGTCGACTCTCCGGTTCTTCGATGCACCAGTTTCGCGGGGTATGAACGTACCCTAAGGGTTTGATGCGTTGCTATCGCTTTACTTTTCTAGAATCCTTCTGTGAATGCTAAGTTTGTCTATTTATGTGTTGTGCGCGCGTGCTGCGTGCGTGCGGGCGTGTGTGTGTTAATCAGCAGAAGGTGTTCTTTTCAAAAAATCGAAAGACCAAGGTGGTTCCCGCTCTCAACCGCTTTCACTGAGCATTGGATGATAGGAGGAGAATCCTTCTCACCAGTGAAGAAATATTCAGATCGAGGGAAACACGCCTCATATGCTAGATAACATCATACTCGAAAGAAAAGAGCTCGCTTCTGTTGGCGAACGGGTCGTCACTTACCATTCGGTGTTGAATGATCGTGGCGTAGAGCAAGCTCCACTTTGTCTTCTGATTCCACTTACTTGAGAACGGTTTTTTTTTGTTTGGCGCTGATCATTTAATCATAGCGCACTCACCATCAATGTGTTCTGGGTTGCCACTAGAACCTGATGCATCCTTTCATGATCACCTGATTGATTGATACGTATGACACATAAATATTATCGAGACATGCGATTATAACCTGCAGGTATTCTATCAGATACTAGAAGCGTGACCTTGCCTGCATTGAGAGGCAGGCCTGAATTAGACTACCGTATTCACCACCGAGAACACCCGTGTTGGACTACAAGTGTCACCTGCGAGGAGACCACCCCGTCTCATACCCCATATTCTTCCACAAAACTACAGAACCCGTCTCGTCACTAGAGCTGTACAAACCGACTCATTTCTGGTGCATCGGGGGAGAATCGAACCGGGCCGTCCGCATGGCAGGAGAGCATCCTATCGCTGAACCCCGCCAAAACCACCACGTTTCGGACTATCACTAGCACCCCCCGTCTGGCCAATAAAGCCGCATCGACCGACTCACAGTGTTCTTCCGGCAATCTGCTACCTTGTACCCATCTCATTAACGCCCTCAAATTGGCAGCGAATTCACTGCAGCTAAAGCTAGGATCGACCTGCTTATCCTGGGAAATGAGCGCTAATCATAGTCTGCCGGTCCTCGAAATGTTGGCCTGTGTATGGTCACGAATACGACCGGGTATAGATGACACCGCACTCCGAAGCCGTCAAATTTCACGAAAAAGGCGTATCGCTTGTACTGACTCAGTTAATATCGTCTGATACTTTTTTTGGTATTCAAGCGTCACTGAAATATGCTGTAATACATTTTGGCACTCAACATTAAAGTCGTAAGTTACTTCAGAATTTAGAAAACTAAGCATTCTGCTGACCTTATCGTTAATTAAATTAGCCTATTCAAAATAGGCAGCACCATGGATTCAAAGGGTAATGCCGCTGTTTGTTGTTAATGGCAACATATCAAAATTAGATACGAATTGGTTGCGTGGAAAAAATTATGCACGAAAACGCTTCAGCCAATATTTTTGACCGCTGCTGTATGCTGTCGGCGATCAGTGCTCACCGTGAAATCCATTCAAAATACGCTCCAGCCAAACTGGTATTACTGATATCGCCAATTTCAGATGGGTGGCCGCAAAAGTTTTCTATTTTGGTGTTGGTGGTGATATTCCAACATTCATAGATTTTGTTGAAAAGAAAGGCGTGTTCAGAGTTACTACTAAGCAATCTATAAGTGCAGATGTTCCTAGGGTTATTTTAGAACTGAAGAGATAGTCCTTTTGCGTTGTTATTGTTGCACTTGTTGATTTAACTGTTATGTAAAAAGTTTTGCAATAAATATATCTATCTGTGTCTTGGTTTCCTATTTCACATATGTCAGTAACATATCGCCGTACTTATTTTGGTATTCGTTGCGTTGTTTGGTTGCACGGCAAGGATACTTTCACTTCAGTTCTCATTCCGGTGCTAACGTATTTGGGGGGGGGGACCACGCGGCGAGCGGCGAGCGATGACTCATCCGCTCTTCTGCTCCCTCCTCGGCAAAAAAGAAGTAATTTCATGTTTAGGACATGGATATAACACCGTCCTAGCTATATTCAAAAGCTAAAACAGTTAAGGCTGAAAAGTGCGAAGAAACAGTTGTAGGCTGGAAGATTTTGCCTAAATACAACGATTGTTGCCTTTTTGTTGATTCTTGACTATAAAAGATCAAATATTTGTTGTTTTCAGCTTCTGTGGGATTTCCCAGCAAGTTCCCGGTGAATCTTGTTTGTTTCATTCTAATTTGGC